CTTGAGCTCACTGTGTAGCCCACCCAGGCTGGTCTGGAACTTGCAGTGATCCTCCTGCCTCCGCTCCTGAATACTGGGGTTACAGGGTGCACCGCCACACCCAGCAGCTGGATTGATTGATTGATTGATTGATTGATTATTTTGAATACAACAGACATTTATTTAAGGTAACGGTATCTGCAGACCAGATAATTTTTGAACTGTATATTTCAGGGTTAACCAAGTTCATAAAAATATTTTGAAGATAATTACATCCAGACTTCAACTATGTTATTACTTCTTTGTCTGTCTTTCTTTCTTTCTTTTTTTGTGGAACCGGGGATTGAACTCAGGCCCTTGCGCTTACCAGGGAAGCACTTATTCTACTGAGCCATCTCCCCCGCCCCTTCTTTGCTTTCTTTTCTTTCCTGAATAACCTCTATGAGATACGGCTCAAGGTAGAATTTACCCTCCTCCTATTTTGTCCACTGCTATTTAGGCAGGATCTGATGCCTTATGCTCAGGTCCACGGCTCTCTTCATGTGAAACGTCCTGTCATTATAAAGGTCTTCTGGAAGCCTTCTTATGGCTTCTTTTACATCTTTGTTTTCATCTACTGCATCATCTCGCACTAAGTCCAGCTTACCGAACCCTGCAGCACCGTAACAGCACTTCTGAATACCTTCCATGCACCAGCTGGATGCTGCCGGGCAGCCTGCCCTTGTGACCCGAGAGCCTGGAGTTCTTTAAAGAAACTTTACTCTTGAATCAAACAGAAAGCAACTGTTGAAAAGAAAACAAAACTCAGTGGAGAAATCACAGCTACGCTTGGCCCACAAGGACTCAGAGCCTGAGGCTTCTGTGTAAAAACAGAAAGGGAGCTAATGTGAATGGTGCTCAGAGTTGGACATCAACACCCAACCATGATCTTTCCCTTTAATAAAGCTAGAAATGTAAAATGGAAGCTTCAAGGGAAATAATTTTATTATTAAAATTTGAAGTTATTGAATGACGATAGTGCCGGATAAAATGGTGCCAGGTATGGGTGGGAGGCTTGGGAGCCGCCACCTGGCTTATCCCATCTCACTCCTGGTGCCCGCTGCAGAGCCAGGCCGGGTTCACACAGGCACTGGCAGGCGTGGTGGTGGGCCCTGTCCCTGCTGAGGACTACGGGATTCTGAGCCTGGGGAGCTCTGGCAGCCCTTCCATGGCATCTGAGGCTGAAACAGCTTGCAGATCAGCATCTGACTTGGTGCTGTGGGGCCCATCTGTAAGCCCCACTGCTTGAGAAGCTGAGGCAGAAGGTCAGGAATTCAAGGCCAGCCTGGGGAGTTTAGCCAGACCCTGTTCTTATGTCCTGCTGGTCCCCCATCAATGGGCTGCCCACCCATCCTGTCCTCTCTAGGCTTGAAGTCCAGAAAGAAGCCAGGAATGTGAGAAAAACCACAAGAGAATGGAAGAACAAGAACCTGGAGAAGAAGAGGCGCCCATCTTCTGGGGACCGTGAGTGACCACTGCAGCTGTTCTGTGCCCCACGCTGCGCAGGCGAGGGCCCGGCTGTGATGGCTCACTGATGTCTGACTGACATCTCCTGGCCGCGTCCTCGTGCAAGGGCCAAGCCTCCCCACGGCGCTCCCCTGCGCTGCGTGGCACAAGGCAGAAATGAAGCCCAGGACGCTGCAGGAAGGTGCTGGCAGTTAAACCTCAAGCGGAAGGTAGATAGCCACAGAACTCTGCATCTGCCCTGGTGCTGGGAGCCTCCAGGCGCCTTCAGAATTGACACATCTGGAACCAGGCCAGGTGGCACACACCTGTCATCCTGCTGCTCAGAGGCTGAGGCAGGAGAACAAGGTTTAGGTCACCCTGGGCAACTCATCAAGGCCTTGTCTCTCAGCTTTAGGAAAAGCTGGGGTGCAGCTCAGTGGCAGAGCACTTGCCTAGCATGTGCAAGGCCCGGGCTTCAGTCTCCAGTACCACCAAAATGCCAGTCACGTATAAAACCATGTGAGAATTAAGAATTCGCCAGGGCTTGGAGGGTTGTGGGAGGTTACATTGCCCACTGCAAAGCTGGTCTTTGGGTCCCTGTTACCTAGTTTCCTGCCTGCAGTTTCGCACCATCCACAGCTGCCCAGGTCGGCTCTCCCACGCACCCGCCTGCATCTCTCAAACCCCTGGGGTGTGAAGAGAAACACCCTGGATAAACTGGTCAGGAAGGACCAGTGTTTCAGGGCTTACAAGGGAACGGGTTTAATATAAGACATAACTTAAAAAAAAAAAAGACATAACTTAGAGGATTCTTTTATATATTCACCCAGAGTCAAATGCAACAGTGCGTGGGAAGTCTGTTGCCACTAGAGACCCAGAGTCCAGCTGAGGGTCCCGCGGCAGTGTCCTGCATGGGCCCAGCTGGAGGCCTAGAGCCACAACAGGGTCTCCTGCAAGTCAGTACCTAGGATCTGCACTGGGAAGGCCCCAAGGTCAGCGGTGGAAGCTAGAAAGTGTGCCAGTGGGATGGAGGATCTGTGCAACAGGCTGATGGGTCTGCACTGGAGCCCGGAAGCGACGCTCAAGGTGAGAACCACAGCCTCCCTGAAAAGAACCGCAGCCGTGCTCAGTGACAGCGAGGACCTGAGCTCCTCTGAGGATGAGAACAGCCGAGATCCCACCAGGAAAGCTGGCGTGACAGGCTCCTTCAGGAGGATCCACAGCACCATGCTCCCCTCCATTGTCCTCTGCTGCCGGCGTTGGTCCTCAGCTGGGCCTTCCAACCAAGACTGCACAGACTCAGCCGGGCCTCACAGGTGAGTGGTAAGGAATCCCTGTGCCGGGGCAGGAGGATCCTTGTCTGTGTGTGTGTGTGTGTGTGTGTGTGTGTGTGTGTGTGTGTAACTATATTATGAACATTAATGCAGTATCTGCTTTAATAATTTATTTAGGTAAAAAAAATAGCATAGTGATGGTTGTTTGTTTGTTTGGTTTTTGTTTGTTTGTTTTTCAGAACCAGGGATTGAACTCAGGCCCTTGCGTTTGCCAGGCAAGTGCTTATTCTATTGAGCCATCTCCCCAGCCACCAACATAGTGATGGTTTAAAGCTGGTTTGATCACAATTTTGTAAGCTTATTTATCAAGAGTGAAAATAGATTATTAAAATAGATAAAAAGGTAACAAGTACTATAGTGTACGTTTCCCTAACTGTTGGTAATGCTCGTGTCTAAATCTGATGCAGAATTCATACTGCATTAAAACAGTTCTTGGTCCCAGCAGCAGGCTTCCAGGCGCTAAGAGTCTGGAAGGGCCTGGCTGTGGGAGCCGCTCGGGTCTTCAGCTGTGACTTCGCCGTGTCTGCGAGCACGCTCTGTATCTTCTTGGGAAGCGGTTCTCCTCGGTAAACCACATCCTCCAGGCACGTGGCCGCTTCATGGTTTTCTTCTTCTAGCTTAAATAAGCTGCAGTGGATTCTTCACTGGGTAAGGAATCTATCAAAACATCATTGTCTTTTGCTGTTCATGCAATCGGTGCTGCAAAAAGCTGGGCGTGCTCTTCTGTAGGGTGAGCAGGCTGGTCTTGTTGATTGCCGTCTGGGAAGGGGGAGGAGGCGGGAGGCCCGCGTTGCTGCAGCTCCACGACGGCATTACAAACTCA